AAACATCAATGCTATGTCACCCTGCAGCTAAAGTTTGGTATTTCCTTCATTAAAATTTGCCGCTGGAGAAAGGCTGTCTGGATAGGTTAAGAAAGAGTTATGGAGAAACTTCCTATAACAGGGAGATTAACTAACCAGTGGAATGGCTTTTGCCTTCAGAAGTTGTGGGTGCTCCATCACTGGAAGCTTTTAAGAAGATACTGGACACTGGACAGTCACTTGTCTGAGATTGTATAGGTTTTCCTGCTTAAGCAGGGGGTTGGAATAGAAGACCTCCATGGTTCCTTCCATATTCTATTCTATTCTATTCTATTCTATTCTATTCTATTCTATTCTATTCTATTCTATTCTATTCTATTCTATTCCAATATCTATTCTATTCTTTATTCCGATATTCTATTCTGTTCTGTTCTATTCTATTCCAATATCTATTCTGTTCTATTCTATTCTATTCTTTATTCCGATATTCCATTCCATTCCGCTCCGCTCCGCTCCACTCCACTCCACTCCACTCCACTCCATTCCATTCCATTCCATTCCATTCCATTCTATTCTATTCTATTCTATTCTATTCTATTCTATTCCAATATCTATTCTATTCTATTTCAATATCCTATCCTATCCTATCCTATCCTATCCTATCCTATCCTATCCTATTCTATTTCAATATCTCTTCCGTTCTGTTCTGTCCTATTCTAGTGGTTTGCCAGCAGCAGGTGCGGACGGCAGAGGTCTCTGACAGCGAGGATTCAGATGAGGGGCCTGCGTGTGATGCAGGGATGGGGCCAGGACTATCAGAGCTGCCTTCAGAGCTTGTGGAGTCTGACGGCAGTGACGCAGAGGACCCAGGGGAGCCTGTGCCCAGTGCGCGTGCGCGCAGGGTTGCTCGAAGGAAAGAGCAGCTGAAGCAGCAAGGGTGACCCGGGAGTAAGGCTGGAAGGTGATGGCCCCTCCCATAAGGGATAAAAACCAACCCTCGGGGATGTGTTCTTTGCAGGAAGCAAAGAAGTTCTTTAGACTCAGAGTCCTCGTTGAAGCCCTGCTTACTCCGGTTTGTTTTTGAAACTTCTGTCGGTGGATATTTCATCAGTAATTAGTCTTCTGTTCTTGGCAGCCTTTTGCAGCCTTGAAAGGGTTTGCTTTTGATATTGGACAATTAGGTTTAAATGTCTCTTGGATGGGAATGCAAATAATTCCCAGTGCCACATTAAAAAAGGTTTGCTTTTATACACAGTTGGTGTTTGTTTAATTTGAACCAGGCTTGGGTCACAACATCTATTCTATTTCTATTTCTATTCTATTCCAATATCTATTCTGTTCTATTCTTTATTCTGATATTCTATTCTATTCTATTCTATTTCTATTTCTATTTCTATTTCTATTTCTATTTCTATTCTATTCTATTCTATTCTATTCTATTCTATTCTATTCTATTCTATTCT